CTTGGGTGGATGTTTTTGGTATGTTTCATGTTGATGGCAACATTTAACCACTGAGCCACATCCCCAGCCCTTTTTTGTATTTTATTTAGAGACCGGTTCTGAGTTGCTTAGCATCTTGGCCTCACCATTGCTGAGGCTGCCTTTGAACTTGGGATTGTCCTGCCTCAGCCCCTGAGCTGCTGGGATTACAGGTGTGGGCCACTGAGCCTGGCTCCCCAGCCCTTTTTAAAAATTATTATTATTTTTATTTTTTAGTTATAGGTGGACAAAATATCTTTATTTTTATGTGTTGCTGAGGATTGAACCCAGTGCCTCACAAATGCTAGGTGAGTGCTCTACCTGTGAGCTACAACCCCAACCCCTCCCCAGCCCTTTTTTAATATTTTATTTAGACAGGGCCTCACTAAGTTGCTGAGGTGGGTTTTAAATTCTTGATCCTTCTGCCTCAGTCTCCCCGGCAGCTGGGATTACAGATAGGCTTGTGCCACTGTGCCCAGCTGATATCTGTGAAAGCTTTTGTAGGCTTAATAAGAACTGTGAGGAAAATAATCAAGGCATTGACAATCCAAACTTAATATTGAATATACTTAAAATCTCCCTATCCTGGGACACTGTACTTCTTATCCTATCTTTGTGATTCTGTGTTTAAAAAAAAAAGAAGAAGAAGAAAATTTAGGACAGTGATCAATTTTCAGAAAGCAGTGTGTTGTGAGTGGGTAGCAGGTGAATGTACACCATAAAAGCAGTGGTTATTTACTTTTTCTAATGCAGTTGAAGAAGCAGGCCCAGCATCCATCAAAATCAAGAGGAAGAATGTGGTGGACCTTATAAGTTCTTTTTTTTTTTTTTTTTAAAGAAAGAGTGAGAGAGGAGGGAGAGAGAGAGAGAGAGAGAGAGAGAGAGAGAATCTTTAATATTTATTTATTTATTTTCTAGTTCTCGGCGGACACAACATCTTTGTTGGCATGTGGTGCTGAGGATCGAACCCAGGCTGCACGTATGCCAGGCGAGCGCGCTACCGCTTGAGCCACATCCCCAGCCCCCAAGCACTGTTGAAAAAAAGAAAAGAATTATGATTTCTTCTTCTTTTTGGTATTTGGGATTGAACCCAGGGGCACTTAATCACTGAGCCACATTCCTAGACCTTTTTATTTCTTTTTTTCAATTTTTTAATTGTAGATGGACATAAAACCTTTATTTTATTTGTTTATATGTGGTGCTAAGGATGGAACCCAGGACCTCTCATGGCTACAACCCCAGCCCACCTTTTTATTTCTTATTTTGAGAAAGGATCTTGCTAAGTTGCTTAGGGCCTCACTAAGTTGCAGAGGCTAGCTTTGAACTCAAGATCTTCCTGCCTCAGTCTCTTAATCTGCTGGGATTACAGGAGTGCACCACTGTGCCCTGTAACAATTATGGTTTCTTTCTCCAAATTGTCATTATAAAAGTGTTATGGGGCTAGGGCTGGGGCTCAGTGGCAGAGCACCCGCCTCGCACATGTGAGGCACTGGGTTCAATACTCAGCACCACACAAAAATAAATAAACAAAATAAAGATATTGCGTCCATCTATAACAAAAAAAATATTTTTAAAAAAAGTGTTATGGGCACTTAACTCTGGCAGGTGCAGAACATAGAACTTGTCCCAGGAAATGGTCTTTTTAAAAATATTTTTTTAGTTTGAGGTGG